ATTTCATGCAATGTTTTATTTCTGTGCCGTCTTCAAGTATGCCCAGTACTTACGCTTGGAGAGGACATGAACTTCGGTGAAAATTTTGTCCAATTTGAAATTGACCCATCTTTTCACCGACCATGCCCATTTCAATGAGTTTGTTGTACCCTTCTTCGTTCGTCATGAGTGCGTCAATGTTCTCATAGTAAACCTTCACTTTGGATTTGACTTCGGAGAAGAATTTGTTGTAGTTGTCAAGGACTGCCTTTGCGAACTGAGGGTAAGACCAATGTTCGACAATAGGTTTTAATGTGGTTACTAAGCCACTTTGACCTTGAGTGAATTCGTACTTCAAAACAAAAGGAGAAAACCTTTCAACAAAGTTGTCGACCTTCTCATAATGTTTACTCTTCATCTCTTGAGGTTTCTTAATGGAATATCCCCATGTCGAATTCATAAGCAATTTGAGTGTCATTGCAAGTTTGGGGTTTGAAGCTTTCCTAATATCATACAGTTGTTGTATGACTTTTCCAACTGTATAGTTCCTTCCCGGGAACTCACCATCTTCGTTTGGAATTCCAGTCGGAATATATTGGACAAACCTCATGTATGCAGCGTTAAGGTCGACATAGTATATCTTTTCGTTTGAGTCGAACTTGTCGCAACCAATTGGTCCAGTTTGTGGAAATTCAAGTGAGTCTCTTATCTTCTGAGAAACTTCTCCTGTTATCTCATAAACATCGTCGAAGCAACCTGTTTCATATAAAACCTTCTGACCTAACTCAGATGCTCTCCAATACAATTTGACGTCAATTGGATGTCTCAATGGAAGTTTGTTTATAGCATCTTGAAGTTCTTGCAACCTCATTGGAAGTTCTTTGGTTCAGGTTGGTATCCGAACAATCCAACTCCTTGTGGAATTGTGTACTTCTTTTGTACTAGAACTTTGTCTGGAACAACTTTTGGTCTTGCTAACAGTGAAAAGTTTGTTTCGTCTTTTGGTACAAAAGTTTCTGTCAGCTTGTCATCTGGAATTGGTTCCAACAAACCTTTCTCGAAAAGAATGTTTACAGCTCTGACAATGTTGCACTTGCCTTTTCCGAACAATGGGTTTGTAAGACTTTCGTTCAACATGAAGTGGTTGTGGACAATTGCAATCTTCAACCATGGTAAATTGAACTCAACAACATAGTCGTCATGTGAAGAACCTTTAGCTGTAGGTATGTTGACTCGGATATTGACATTTGCCAACGGTGCAATTTTTGCCAATTGACCTCTGAGAATGTACCTTGTCTTCACACATGACTCAAGATACTTCATCTTCTCTTCTGAAACAAGACCAGAGTTCCTGAGACATGTAAGAATGCAAGGTTCGTTGACAATTGTTTCAATTGAATTGTAAATTCCATACCTTGTCAAGTCAATGTCAGACTTATTTATGAACGGGAAAGTATCCAGCATGTTGTCTGACTGCTTGAGGGTTAGGTTGGTACCATTCGAACTTGACACTTGCAATTCCTTCAATTGCATTCAAAATGTCTGAGTCGGAGTCAACCATTTGTTCTCTCTTTGTAGTCTTGAAAGCGTCAAGAAGTTTTGCAGCTGTTTGTTCATTGCCATTTGCATAGTAAATGTGACCATCCAAATCTGTTATGGTCAATCTGAGATTGTATCCTTTCTTATTTCCGTCTTTATTGCAGCAAGTACTCCCATGAAGCCTTCTTTGTTCTTTCCTTCGTCAAAGTTTACTGTAAAGGTTCGACCAGATGTAATTTGACTTCTAACTTCACGATACTTTTCATATGCATATCTTGTTCTTTCCATGGGAGCATGACCATCCTCTGCACTACCTTTTTTCCTTCTCAAAGGATGCAATTGTTCGTCATGTTTCCAGTAGAATCTGGCAAAGCCGTCGTGTCCTTCAACTTGAGGTTCACTAACATCGAAAGCATGTCCATAAGACGTTCTTCTTCTAACCTCTCTAGTCTGTTTGGATAATTGGCACGTGCTGTTTCCAAATCCATTTCGTAGCGAAGACCAGCCAGTTTGTCATAGACTTTTATGGGTCTTCCTTTCTTATATTTAAACTTCTTCGAAACTCTCCAACCATATCTTTGCAACTCTGCTTTTATTCTAGCAGATTTTCTATCCATTCTATATGGGGGCATTTTTATAAAAATAAAAAAATATTTTTTTCTTTACTTTACATAACCGCCTGCTGCCATAAGTCTTTGACGCCAACCCATACCAGCTAATGAAGGTTGACTTGGTTTAGTTTGGAAACTAAACTTTGGTTTTGGTTTATCTTCAGTTTTTGGTTTTTCTTCTTCTATCGGTTTTTCGTCACTTTTCGGTTCCTCTGACTTTACTTCACCTGCAGGAACAGTTGTGTCGTCAACATCTTCATAAATATCATATGCCATTTGTTTTTGTTTTCCTTTCAACTTTTTGTGTTTGTTGTAAAGTTTAGAATATTTCGACTCTAAGTCAATGAGATGTTCTATAATGAACTGTTGGTCAGTGAAGTAAACTTTTCCATCTGTTGTCTCGAAAGCTCCTTCAGACTTCAATATTTTATTTGTGAGAGTCTGTTTCTTTTTTGAGATACTAGCCGTTCCATTTCTATGAAAAGTGACTTTATAGTTAGGGTTTGTATTTCCAGACCTGGCACTTTCTATTATTGAATTTTTCTCTTCATCTGTAAGTTCTTTGACAGGTTTTGACAATGGTTCTGAACTTTTTGTTTGTGGTGTCAAATCTACCGTTTCAACTTCTTCGGTCATTTCATCTCAGTAAAAAATTTTAGTTTGGTTTGTTTTCAACTGGTTGTTGTTGTTTTTTAAGTCGGTCTAAAACTTCCTGAGGTATAGGAAGAACTTGACAAACACGTGGTGTAACTGCTGGAAGTCGACAAATCCATCTTGAACCCATTTGTCTCAATGCTGTATTGTTCATTTCATCTCAGTAAAAAACTTTACATTCCCCAAGTTTGAGGTGGTTGCGGTTGGTTATTGTTTACCCACTGTTGTGCATGGTTATATCCTCTGTTAAAGAATCTTTCACCTTGGTCCATATAGTGTCCTGCTTGGTTATAGTAGTCATTTGCTTTGTTATAATAGTTTCCTGCTTGTCTTCCTACATTGTCCATCCATCCTTGAACTTTTCCTCTTGTTTCAGGATTTGGAATAAGATTTGCTGCATCTCGTGCTACATCGCAACCTTTCTGTACAGTTTGTATAATAGGTTGTGCTTTCTCTTTAAGTATACCTGTTTCGTACCGAAATGGCTCACAAAAAAGTGACAGAAAACCTTAAATTGCGCGGCAATTTTAATTAAAAAAATAAACATTAATTTTTGTGATTGATATTATGCATTTTATTTATATTATATAAGATTTAAATTTAGGGGAAAAATTGGGGAAAAAAATAAGATTGGAAGTCTTTAGGTAAGAAGGAAAGGGCAAGAGATATATAGTGTACCTATATACCTCTTGCCCTTTCATTCTAAGTAGAAATGGGAGAAACTTTGTCCGCATCATCAGTTATGCGGACAAAGTTTCTCCCATTTCTAATGGGAATTGTAGGCTATGAGGCACTGATATATAATCAGTACCTCATAGCCTACAATTCCCCTTATTAGACTTCCAAACTTTGAGTTAATGTCTTGACATTAACTCAAAGTTTGGAAAACTTCTCGTAAGAATCAATCGTCAAAAACCTCGATTGCAGTTATATTCATTGTGTTAAAAAACATTAAAAATTATTAAAGATTTGTATAATATGATTAAAAATGGGAAATAATATGAGGCAATATAAAGGAATATGAATATTAAATAAATATATCTAAATAGAAAGAATCAGAAAAATCAAATTATTGGCGCCAAAAAATGTCACTTTTTTTGTGAGCCATTTCGGTATGAGATACTCTTTAAGTATACCTAATGTACTCAAAATCTTCCTTCCAACTCCAAATACACCTCTGGCTATTGTTCCCACTGCGGGCAAAAATCTGGATGCAACTCCTGCTAATGCGCCAAATAAACCCATTTCTTATGGGTTAAAAAATGACGAATCCAAACAAGGACCCCTATGTTTCTAAGGCAACAAAAAAAGCACTCATGATAAAAATCTTTAGTTCAACACCAAATGCTTGGTTTATGGATATCTTGGAAAACATTCCGAGGTATAGAGAAGATGGACCTCCATACTGGCTAATATTTGTCGGTCAAAACACAAGATACTGTGAAGCCATACCATTATGGTCCAAAAATATTTTAGATGTGAAAACTGCTTTGACAATATTCGTTGACAAATACCATCCAACAAAACTGACATCTGACTGTGAAAGTTCTTTCAAATCAGATGATGTAAAAAACTATCTGCGTTCAAAAAATGTAAACCAATATTTCATTGTCGACCAAAACCATTCTGCTCTTGGTGTCATTGACGGTTGTATAAAAATGTTAAGAGACTTAAACCAACCACAAGGTGGTGAAGCAAATGAAATGTCATATGACGACAAATATAGACACTTCTCCATGGCAAAGATGAGACAAGTTTTAAATATTTACAATAGCCGTAAACAAAAAGGTTTGGGAAACCACTCCCCCGAAGAAATGAAAAACAACCCTGACTTAGAGAAAGACTATATATTTAATAATTTAGTCAAAAGAGACAAACAAGAAAGAATGCCGGGCTTCAAACTTCAGAAAGGTGACAAAGTAAAAATAGAAATACCTAAACGCGACCCATATGAAAATACTATTGACTATGACAACAATGGGAACCCGACAGGTACTCACATTCGTGTTCGTAAAAATAGAAGAAAGTATACAAGAGAATATTATGAAGTTTTAGGCAAACATGGCAAAATGTACAGACTGCAAGCAGAAGATAAACTACTATTGTCAGACCTCGTTTCAAACTTGTCAAAGTTCAAGGTGGTATACTTTCAAAGACAGTTCCTAACAAATATAAGACAACTCCTGACGAATATGCTAAAGAAGTTGAAAATGACGACTAAGCATTTCTATACCATGCGTAAACTGTCATGTAAGGTGGCATGTAGTCTTTACTTTGTCCCGTTGTTTGCGTATATCCTGAAACGCGATGTGTATGGTTTCCTCCTCCCTCAGTGTTACTCCAGTAACAATCTATAGCAAACTTAACGTTGTCTTTAACATCATATCCTTTACCTTTTATCATTGCTGACCAATCCCAATATCTATGCTTATGCCAACCTGCTTGAGATGTACTTAAATCTATGTAGTGACTATGTGCAGGTAAATTTTCACCTGAAATCGTTTTACTTCCACCTGTTTCCTTTGAAGAGTTTGCACAATACAAAAACCTGTCGACTATTTGAGTCCAAGTTCCAAAACCCAGAACTGTTTCTGGTCTGGTAGAGTTCATTGACGTATAAATAGAGCCTATAGGATATATGTTTGAAGTATTTCTGTCTTTAATGTTTGAAGCTCTGTTTTGTCTGCTTTCTTGTCATATAAATCTTGAGCAGTGAATTTAATATTATGTTCATCCTTCATGACATAAACATCTTTACATCTAATGTTTCTCATCGTCGTTATGTCGTCATCCGATGTTAAACCTTGTGGAAAGTTAGGAGGTTTACAATATATTGCATCCCCACCAGTTTCTTCAACCGTTCCTTCAATACTTTCTATAGCAACAGTTGTAAAACTTGTATGTGTATGAGTCTTTTTGCTTTCTTCTCTAACTCATCGTTAACATATTTTATCTGCTTTAAGGTCTAAACATCCTGAAACCCATCCTGTATCGGCTTTAACTTTAAAAGTCTTCGATGTCCATTCATGGTACCAGTCAACCCTTTCTTTCATTTCGTTAATCTTTTTCATCCACA